TTTAACATCTTTTTAAAAAAATTATTAGTTATTAAATTTATTAAACAAAAGAATGGACACAAAGGCACTTAAAAAAACTGAAAGCGTTAAATAAGTGTGAGGTAATCTTATTTATTTTTAATGTGGCATTGCTCTATTTTAACTTACATTGTCTTTCTGGAGTCAGCTGTCCTCATCAGTCATAGTTTTTACTCCAACGAGAAATAGTTTGTGCAGTGGTTGTTTCACTCTCTTTAATAGAACAGAGTAGAAGAATGTCTCCTTACTCAGTACTATCTATGCAGCCTACTGGACCCAAATTGCTGAGACTTTAATGAGGAATCCAGTAACGAGAAACATAGAAATTCTGATAAGCTCTTCCTAACATCTTTTTAGCCAATGGCTTTAGGGGGATTCCTTTTGGAGTCTTATGGACATTGGTGATAAAGTCCTCTTAATCAAAACATTGCAAGCCGTTTTAGAGTAAGTGTACCATTTTTTCCTCTCGTTTTGTATCGAGCACATCCGGTTGTAGAAATAAGCTAGAAAACTCTTCTGTTTGCAGAACAAACAGTGCTAAACATGTGAAGGAGATCAAAGTACAGAATTCCTGCAATTATGTCAATAGGGGACCTGCTTTACTCTTCAGCCCTCATTTGGCCTTGCTGTTGATGGATGCCATATTTATTTACACTTTGGTATTGGTAGGACCTCGTATAAAGTTTTTTGTTTTAAACTAATTGATTATTTGTAATCCTTTAGCAAATCACAGTGCCCTTGAGGGAGATGGGTTTTTTAAAGTCTATTTTAAATTTAATATGGTGCTTTTTACCTGTGAGACCTTGTAAAAGAAGAATGGATTTTTAAATTTTTAAAAATATTTTATCGATATCTTTTAACATCACCTTAATTTTCAAATTCATGTCTCTTCCTACCCAGAGAGAAGCAACCCTTTAACAAAAAATGAGGGTGGGTGAAAAAAAAGGTTTGGCAAATCTGACCAACACACCACCTGCTTATTGACCTTATTTGTGGTGTTCCACACCCTTAGTTGTTATCTTCTCCCTGCCCTGAGCTGCCCCCCAGCCACATCCCCTCCCCACATTTCTTCAAACCAGGGAGGGAAGCAAAGGTGTGCTAGGGCAGCCAGGTGGGGCAATGGCCCTGGAGTCAGGAGAACCTCAGTTCAGATGTGCCCTCCGACACTTACTAACTGGGACCCTGGGCAAGTCACTTAACCCCTCCAAAACAAACAAACAAGAAGATGGTGTGCTAGAGGTGGACCATTAATTGTTAAATTTTCAGTGTGAGCATTTACTTACACCTTAGAAATTGGAAGACCCTACCAGTGGGGCTTGATTTATTGTTTTTTGATAGTGATGAAGGAAATTCTGATAATGCAGTTCAAACTTGAAAGTGTGTCATGGCTGTGTTTTTGTTTTCCTAGAGACTTGGTTGTTGCAGATTTCCCTGCTCCTGGAGGGAAATGTGGGAAATGGACTTTTTAAAAACAGAAGGATATTCTTGACATCTCTAGTTCCACTTATCTGTTATTTACTAGGTCAGGTTCTTGAAGGAATGAATGAAAAGGCATTTATTAAATGCTGACCATGGTCAAAGCGCACTGCTAAGAGCTGGGGATATAAATAGAAAACTGAAGATAAGTTTTTGCTCACAAAGAACTCACATTTTAATGGGACACATAGAGGAGGTTTTAACTGTAAGTCAGATGGAAAGGCCCATTAGTTCTTAGGGTACAGCAGGCAAACATAGAGTATTGCATCTTTTCTAATGTCTCATCCACTGATACTCCCTGGCCAAGTTACTTACCTGCTATCTGCCTCAGTTCCTCATCCGTACAGTGGGGCTAATAATAGCGTATATGTCCAAGGTTTGTTGTAAAGCTCTTTACAAAGCTTAAAGAACTATATAAAAGCTAGCCAGTAATTGTTATTCTTATACGGGAGCTGGGTAGAGGGTGTGTGTGTGTGTGTGTGTAGAAAATGTTTCTGTTCAACAAATTTTATTAAGTACCTGCTTTGTGCCTGGCGTTATGCTCACCAGTGACAGAATGAAACCTTCCTTACCAACAAAGAGCTACATTCGAATCACTACCTTCTTGGCCCTTTTGGAAGAGATGTCTTTTCTTATTGAAGAACAATAGGAGGAGAAAGTTACTTAAAGTATAAGCTTTCTCTAGCAGCCCCTTTGGGCTTTTGTCTGCTGGAAAATCTTACTTTTGTCTAGAAGAATTCTGGGAATGAGAGAGAAAAAAGAGGTAGAGTCAGATTCAGTAACTCCCGATGTGAACAAATAAAGGCGATAGCCAAAGTAGTTCTTGAACTCTTAAAAAACAAAACAAAACAACAACAGGGGGCAGCTAGGTGATAAAGTGGATAGAGCACTGGCCCTGAAGTCAGGAGGACCTGAGTTCAAATCCAGCTTCAGATACCTGATACTAGCTGTGTGACCCTAGGCAAGTCACTTAACCCCAATTGCTTTAAAAAAAAAAAAAGTACTTTTCTGAGTGGTATCCGTCGATGTATACAGGGTGTCTTTGTACTAAAAGTTCAAGCTTTAGTAGATTAAAACGGTGCACAGAACTTTGGGGACCTCCTTGTAAAAGAGTTCTTCTGTGTCTTGTTATGAATGGATAGCTCTAGTTGCAGTGTCTTTGATTTAATGAGATCCATTTCTAATTAAATTAATAGTATCTAGGAACCCAGTCTCTTGATAAACCAGGATGATAGATGTTTTTGAAGTTAGAAGAATAATAAATATGGGATAGATATGGGAGATTCTTTATTTCTTCCTGGCATTTGTAATTTTTTGTGTACTTTTTGTAGTTAACAGCAAGTGATAGTTTTATTGGAAATTCTTAACCACATAAAAATCAAAGTCAAAACCTTCAGTGTGGGTGGTGTTTTTATTTGTGAAAATCTGGATTGTACAACAACAGTTTACTTGCTGCATGAGAGAAGGGAGGGAAAGATCTTGCAACTCAAAAGTTTAAAAAATGAATGTTCAAAATTGTTTTTACATGTAGTTAAGGAAAAAATAAAATTGTTAAAGAATAAAATCTATGGGTGATAAGCAAGGTACCTACATAGTGTTATTGATTGATTGGGTATTTGTCAGAATCTTTCATTAATGAATCCCAAGGTGTTTTAATTGTGTAACGGACGGAGTGATTCATTTTGTACTGAGATGGAATTTTTATAGTTTTGTGGGGGGTAAGGAGAGGATTTTATGCAAAAAAATATTGAAATTGTATATATTGTAGTCTATTCTTATGGGTAACATGTGCTTTGATCAGAACTGGATTTTGCGTCTCCAAGTGGGACGTTTCAAAATGTGTTTTGACAATGACAAAAGCACTGGACCCCGAGTTGGAACCTGGGTCATCTCCTAGATCTTGTGACTCGGATGTGTGATGAGAACTGAACCTCTCTGGGCCCTCAGTTTGCTTGCCTGTGTAAAATAAGAGAGTTGAACTAAAGATCTCCAAGGCCCCTTCCAGCTGCTAAAATTCTGAGATGATCGAATTCATTTCAGATAGCATGAAGGAAAACACTTTTGGACAGGAGTCTTATCACAAATTAGATTATTTACACCATACAAGTAATTTTTTTTTTTAAGCAAAGATGGCTGAGCTTCAGCAGCAAACTGGCAACATTCTTTGCCTCTAAAAATAAAGATGTGGGTCATCATTGTATACAGGACTGTTTGTAGAATTGTTTTTGGACATTATTTTTTTTTAATTTACACATTTTTGTGGCATACTAGGCATAAGTATAATTGAAAATGCATAATGTAATGCTTAATGTTCTGCCATGGAAATACTTGGACATTTGGCTCTTATAAGTTTTATTGATTAGGAAAAAAAAAAACTAAATTCATTTCCTAATCTCTTCCCATAACAAAGAAGCCAATTTAAGGGGGAAAAAACCCTCCAGATTTGTTTTATTGGATATTTATTTTATTAGTGATGTGGAATATTTTTTTTCATATGGATGTTAGTCATTTGCATTTCTTTGGAAAACTTTATGTCCTTGGGAACCCTACTACATTTTGAAATTTTTTTTTAAAAAAGAATATAGCCATCCCAGGAAACTGAATTTTTATAAATCTTCTTTTTATTTTGTTGTTGGTTTAAAGAAGCTGAAAAAAATGAAAGAATGGTAAAATGTTAAATAATACCATTGTTAGTGCTTTTCAAAATTGAATACATTTTAGTACATACCATGTTTAAGACAATATGTGAGGCACTTTGAAGAATACAGAGCATTTAAGATATGATCAAGTAGTATTTTGTATTTTATTTGTTATACATCTGAAGTACTGACATTTATTTTAATAAATAATTTTAGGGAAAAATGAAAGACTAAAATGTAACCTTCACAAGAGAAGGCTCTACCATGGGGAAGGGGGGGGGAATATTAATACTGTCTATCTAGACTGAATCCTGGAGGAGACAAAGAAGGAGGAAAACTATCATAGAATAAATGTTCAAACTAAAACGATTCTAGAGATAATCTAGTCCAGGAGTGGGGAACCTGCAATCTTGAGGCCGTATATGCGGCCCTTTGACTAAATCCTTGGGGATTTGTTCTGTGAAGTTTGGATTCGGTCAAAAGGGCTACACTTGAGGACCTAGAGGGCCACATGTGGTTTCGTGGCTACGGGTTCCCCATCCCTGGTCTCTTTTACAGATGAGAAAACCTAGGCCCAGAGGCCTCATGTTAATAGTTGTCAGCCTAGAACCCAAGTGGTCCGCTTCACTATCTGAGGCTGGATTTGACCTCAGATCTTCCTGACTCTGGCACCAATGCTTATCCACTAGGGCCACTGTTTCTCAGCAGTCGTGCCATCTAAAGGACATATTATAAATGGTCGTAGTCTTTATTTTACTGATAGCTGTTTTTAAAAAAAGTATTGATTATTTACTCTGGCTAGAAATTGCTCTGGTACTTTTTGTTCAAGGTCATCTTACTAAAGTTTATCATTTATTCACTCCGCAGCACAAATAATACCCCTGAAGATGATGTCTCAGGTCGATACTCTCGAACGGACAGGGCAGTGTCTAGGTACAGCAGGGATCCAGCTGCTTCTGCTAATTTAGTCATATTGGAAAAGAAAATTGAAGATATGGAAAAGGTATGGCCTCAGGATTATTTTAGATGGTCTAATATCTTAGCATGACCCTATCCTCTGCTCAGAAAACTAGAAGACATACTAAAAACCAAATAAGTACCGTAGGGGTTTTTGTCCTTGAAAGAGGGGTGTAGAAAAGAACAGGAACTAAACCTGAAAGATAATTTGGGATGAGGGGTGGGGGTGGAGGTAAGTAGGAACAGAGAACGGCTTTAACATTTAGAGCAGCTTAGCCAGGGTAGTGTCACAGTGTTGTCCTGTGGTTTTGTTAATTTGACATCTAGCCCCATGTAGTGACTAGGTTTTTTATTTTCCTGTTTTCTTCCCTCATTATGTTGCTGATGAAACTTGACAAATGAAATCCATTAGTTTTAGAGCAGGTTCTGATTATACAATGTCCTACAACTTACCGGGGTAGGTCAGATGGGTCACCAGTTGTGTATTTAATATACATACATAGTTCCAACTCATTGTAGGATTTGCATCCAGAGCTTAAGCAGATTTTTGGTTTCTGCCTTCAGAAAACTTCCTACTAGAAAATTCTGGCTGGGTTTGAAGGGTCCCCAAAAATAGTTCAAAGAAGATTCTTTTTGTCTCCCAAAGGGGGGATGTTTCCATGCACATTCAACTGTTCAAATTGATCCCAGTGTTAATGTTGTTACCCATGTCCTTGAAAAGATCTTTTCAACCAATGGACAAAGCATGTGAAATCTGTTCTAAGCAACTGAAACCAAATTATTCCCTCTGATACCAGAAGATCGGCCCAAATAGAAATTTCATTTTAGAGAATTGTGATTTAATGTGAAAGTCAATTTTCAAGCTTCAACATCAGCATGTACTTAGAATTGTTGTTTTCCTTGAGGGTTTCAGTTTTCCCTAAATAATGATTTCCAAAGTGGAAATCACATACTAGACTTTTTAAAAGAACAATTAGAGAGTGAGTAAAACATTTTCTGGGCAATTAATTGTAGAGATACAGAGGCTAGTAGGATAAAGGGGGCAAATACACCATTGAGAAATCGATTAGCATTTGTTAGAGACTTGGCTAAGCCTTGATTTTAATCTGCCAGATTCCTTTTTAGCTTTTGCATTCCCCTCATTCTCCTTTCCTCCTGTGGGTGAATTCTCTCACACACCTAACTCTACAAAAGGCAATTTTAAGTAAGCCACCTTGGGGGACCTCTAAGCAGGAATGCTGAATATTTCTAAGTGCCTTGAACAGATGTGACAAGTACACTGGGGTTTTTTTTTTCTTTAAGAAGACCATAAACATTCTTTTAGTATGTAAATCCACTTTTGTCCAAATAATTGTTTTTGGTTTTTTTCCTATGTCTACTAGGAAATAATAAAAGAGAGACAAGAAAACGTAAGACTCCAGAAACTGATTCAGGATAAAGAAGAATTAATTGGAAAACTCAAAGAAGAAATTGATTTATTAAATAGGGTAAGGACTGTAGTCATCTCAGTCGTATGGTGTTGCCTTCTAATTACGGGAAAATGCATGGAGACATAAATATGGCCTTATCATATTAATGAATTTATGCTTTGCTTATGGATCCTGCCATCTTATAGATGGCTTGTGATAGAAATCATACCTTTGATGATTGCTGTGTGACTACATAGCTAATTTAATTTGCTGCTTGACTCTGATTTATGGGATGGCAATGTGGCAAAGTGGGAAGGGCCCTGAATTTAGAATGTCTCAGATTCTACAACTGCCTACTTGTGTGATCTTGGACAGGTCATTTCGCCTCTGCTGGCCTAGATGATGATGTTGGAAGGTGGCGTAGTGGAGAGAGTGCCGGGCTTGGTATTCCCGAGTTCAAATCCGGCCTCAAACATTTAGTGTTGTTTTGTTTTTTAATTTATTTAGGCTGTGTGACCCTGGCAAGTCACTTAACCCTGTTTGCCACAGTTCCTCATCTGTAAAATGAACCAGAGAAGGAAATGGCAAGCCACTCCAGTGTCTTTGCCAAGAAAACCTCACACGGAGTTGCAAAGAGTCAGGCATGACAGAACACCACCCCAGTCAGTAGGTGCCTGAGGCAGGACCTGAACCAAGGTTTTAACGTTTGAAAAGTCACAGTAGGCCGAGTCATGCTGTCCCTTTTGTTCTAAATGGTTGATCCGAATGGTGGCGTTTGATTCTATATTGGATGTGACGACTGTGCCCTACCTCCCCCGCTTTCCCACCTGGGTCTTTGGGAAACAGAGCTCCCCAGTGCTGTTCAGGGGGGCCTTGAGCAAATCATCTCTCATCTGTGGGCCTCAGTTTGCTCAGGTAAAATGAGGGGCATGACAGATGACCTCTCAGATGCCTTCTTGTACCATCCTCCTGCCTCTGCTACATATACTCCCTTCCCATATCCCGAACCACTCCATTTTAGTTTTCTTTTCATGCTTCAGAATGATTTGCTCACCATCTCTGTGCCAGCTTTTGCTGGCCCAGCCTCCCTAGCATTACACTAATCTCCCACCTTTGTTTAGCATACCTGGATCTTTCATTTGTCCACAAGATTAAAATGTATTCAGTATTTTGAGGGGGCCTCCTCTATGTAAGTACCATGCTCAATGTTGTGCACTATCTGAAAGTAAAAGGCCTGTCTTCAAGGAGTTTATATTCCAGTCATGATGATTACTACAATCTGTAATTTCATGATATGGTTAACTTGCCAGCAAGTAATTTGTTTATTCAGTAATTTGAATCTTGGGAAAATAGCCAATAGCAATTGAAATTTTAGTGTGTGTTTTTTTTAACTGCAAATCTGTCTACAAAATCTTTGCTTTTACTTAATTTTAATGAATGAAAATCTGTTTGTGCAAAATGCCTTTAGCGTTTAAAAAATTCGTTTGCACTGTTATCTGAAGATTATCCAAGCTTCTTAGAATGCTGCTGTCTTAAAACATTTGTAACTTGAGATTATTATATTTCCATTCTCACTCATTTAAATTGACAGATTAAATCTGTGCTCTTCCTTGAACCATTATTTAAATTGTTAATTTCTGTTGGTGTCCCCATGGATTTTCTAGTATTTTTGAGTGAGGCCTCTGTCTGAAATGTTCAACTGAAGAGAGTGGTAGGTTTCCTTACAATCCTCATAATAATTCTCATTTATAAAGTACTCAGAGGTTTACAAAACACTTTACTCACAACAGCTCCATAAGGTAGTTAGTGTTATCATCTTCATTTTAAGGAAGAGGAAATTAAGTCAGAAAGACTTTCAGTGACTTGATCAAGGTCACATAGAGTAAGTGACTAGGCCATAATCTGAACCTTATTTATTTAGGATCATAATTCCAGAGCTGGATGGTACATCTCTCTTATTTTAGAGATGAGAAAAATTGAGCCGCCCTGGTCCTAAATTAAGTGAACTACTCAAAAGTCACACAGGTTTTAGCTTCAGAGACAGGATCCGAACCAAACCCTAGATCTCCAAAGGTAGTGAGTGCTGTTTTTCACTATAACACATTGCTTTCTTAAACTGGGGAAGGGTGGAGGTGGGGGGTAGGGGAGAAGAGATGGGATGAGAAAAGTGATACAAATTTAGTTTTTTAGTGATGCTGGGGAACCTTCCCTTCTCCTACAATATAATGATTTTGTCATTAAATGGTTAAAATGCTAGCCTTACTTTAATAAAGTATTATTACCTCTTTCTCAAAGTTGCTTTAATTTGATAACTGTTTTCCTTCCTCCTTAAGGACCTAGATGACACAGAAGATGAAAATGAACAGCTAAAGCAGGAAAACAAAACCCTTTTGAAAGTGGTCGGACAGCTGACAAGGTAGAAGACCCCGGCCTCAGTGAGGAGAACGATTTGTAAAACTACTGATTGAATGTTGAGGTCAATGCTAGGGCAATATTTCCCATGCTGCAATACATTAAAATAACTAAGAGTGTATTTATTTCTTGGAAACTGATGGATGTTTATTTTCATAATATTTTTCTTTCTCAATATCAATAAAGATAAGGTATCCACCTCATTTCACCAATAAGCAACATTTTTCAGTTATTGAAATAGTTGATAAGGAGCTATGAAATTCTCTGGTTTTATGTATTCAGATAATATATGTGGTCCAAAATGGCTCAGACTATGTCTTCACCTCTGGTGAGGTATCTCCCTCCCATCCTCAAAAAAAAGAAAAAGAAAAAAAAAGTAAAGAAATAGAAGCATAAAAGCTTTGTTTACATGGGTCCAAATATATTTGGGGAGTCACTTGCTGTTTGAACAGCTGTAAAGTGCAGATGCCTTATTAGCGACGTGTAACCTTTTTGCATATTGATGGCTCACTCTGACAAAAATCTGGGTGTACCATGGTTCTTGGGGGTTTGTTTTTACTTATTCTGAGAGATTAGAATAATAGGCTAGCTCTGTTCCGTATTGCAGTCATCTTTTTAAAGGAAAGCTGTTATGAAATTACAGTCAATCTCATGTAGTAGAGTTCAGCTAGATATAATTTTTTTTTTTTTAGAAAAGTACTTGAATTGTGCTCCATACTAAGTACAAATTTACCATCTTGGGTCTGTATATTGAGAATTTAAAGAAAGCGCTTTAACTTCTGCAAAAACGTACAAATGTAATGTTTATGTAAATGTTCTTATGAAGTTTGTAGGTACTATTTTTTATTGTTTGGAGAAGGTTTATTAGAACATGTTTGTAAAGAGAAAGATAAGAGAACATGTTTGTAAAAAGGAAAAAAAAAACCAGAAGTTTGTTGTTCAAGCCTATTCACAATTGCAGTTTATAATAAAATACATATTCTTAACATCTTTTTGCCTTAAAATAAAAATGAAAACGGTTATCTGGACTTAAACAATTATGGTATTACGTGAGCATTAACTATCACTGAGACTAATGTCAATTTCATTACGTGTTGTCTGTTACTATAATTGAGCTAAGATCCACTGTGGTGTATTTTGTCCTTCTCTAACTAGAGATTTCCCACCCCAAATTGGAAGCAGTTGTATTCATTATTTGGGGATTTTAGGAACAAATACGAATTTTTTTTTTAAAGATTTACAAGTGTGAACATATTGTTAACTTGAATTTAATAGTAGTGGAATGCTCTTTTGCTCCAACTATGCATTTTGAGTACTTTGGGGAGCAATGTATTGTAATACTCTTTAGAAAAAGCCTAACATTTAGATCTGTTTTGAACCTTTAATGTCAATACAGAAATTTTCTTGATTTTTCTCAGCGTTTCTACCTTCCATTGATAATGTCCCAGAGTGTACATTTCAGGTCTAGATCGAGAGAGCGGGTTCTGGCAGTGTCATTTAACCCCCATCCATTTGGTTGTCTCCCACCATGCCTGTTCTTTGTACTGAGAATGGAAGAAGGGATGGTTTATGCTGATTGGTGTAGTTAGTTTTGTTTTTACTTAACTGTAGTTCCCCCACAGTCTTATTCCTAGGCACTGTGCCTAGAAACTTGATACACAAAGACAGAGTAAAATGGTTCCTGCCCTCAAGAAGTGTGTATTCTATTGGCTAGTAAATTGATGCTAGATAATTCATAGATTAGAGGGTAAATGTTTTAGACCTTTGCCATAGGACTGGCAGTTTCCAGCATGTGTGTCATAGAGTTGTAAAGTTGCCACTCGCTGTCTTTGGCCTCCTGAATTCCTCCTCTGGCCACCCATAGTTGAGTGACAGAGATGAGAAGAAAGCACAAATTCATACATACATACATAACCCACTCACCCATATTTCATGAATCCGCCAAGACATGGAAATACACCATGAAATTAGCAGCCCTTTACACTTCTGGGTGGTTTTGTTTTTTGTTTTTGGTTGTCGTAGGTGGTGGTGGTGGTGGTGGTGGTGGTGGCAGCGGCGGCGGCGATCTTTAAAGTTGCAACTCATAAACTCACCTAAATAAATCACATTTAACGAGGTTCCAGAGGCACGTGTGATTCTTCCAAATTTTCCACTTGATCCCCATGGTGGGTAAAATTTCAAAGCATGCAGTTTTGTACTGCCCTGGCCACTGAGGTCATAAAGTTAGTTGTTGAATATTCTACCAAATTTGCTATCAGAAATGTTTGCAGTAATGACAATGACTTGTCTACCAGCATGACAAGCTACCTGCCCTTCCAGCTATCAGAGAAAGACACGCTTCATCTACCAGGCTATTCAATATTTTTTCTAATTTTTCCTCCATATAGGTTCTGCTTATTAAGAATCATCATAGTCATAATAACAAATAAAAAACCAAACCAGCATATTTTATTAACTCAGGAGAGGATGTCACTGGGTAAAAGTAGGAGAAGGACCAAGATATTGAACGGTCCATTTTGAAGTAAAGCTTTTGAATTTTGCAGCTGAGAGATTCTTCTCAATTAACATTTTATATTAGGGTTTTCTTTAATGTTTATAAAACTTAGGTATCTGCCTCTATCAAATAAACACTGATTCCCTAGCAGAAAATAGATATTGGGCGTAGCACCAATGTCAAAAAAAAGATAGCGTCGTGGTCAAAAATGACAGCTTCTCATGAACTTTTAGTCATTCATCCAAGTGTAGTGTGTTCAGAAAGGATTCAAAGCAGCTACTTTCACATATACTTTTTAGGACTGCTCTGATAGCAAGCTCAGCAATCTTTCAAATTACCATCAGCCTAACTTTCTAAGATCTGACCCCCATTTTCTTTCTAAAGGTATCGCTGCATAATTTTACGACACAGGGACTGGACCACTGATATCCTTGTCTGTGAAACCCCAAGATAAGGACACTCCTTTCCCCAATGCAAATCAGCACCCTCCCTTAGATTTATAAGCTGAAAGGGTTGCTGGGAAACAGAGAGGTTGAATGACTTGGACAGGGTCCAAGAATGTTGCCTAGAACACTGACGGGTTGAGTGAGAGCCAGAAGCAGGACATGAACCCAGGTTTCTTGACTTCAATACCAAGTCTCCATTCACTACACCTTGGTACCTTTTAATTTTATGAGACACTTGATCATTTTGTCACCTTAGAATTATCTTTATAAGGGATGGCTTATGGGGATATATTTTTCTTTTAAAAGACTAATTGGTTATTAAATGTTAACTCTTTTTGTTAGGATTTTTTAAATTAATCTGGATAAATCCATCCAAGTATACCCAATACAATAGTCAGTGCTGTCAAAGAGCCACACTCCAAAGTTGGTGAAAAAATATAGTCAATTTGACCTGAAGGACAACTCAAGCAAAATATTCACCTGTTAGGGGAAAACATAACAGTGGGGAAGACTTTGTTATCCACATTAATCTGTATTTTTGAGATGACAACATTTGAGTTTTCACTAATGTTGTTGTAAACAATGTAGTAGAATACTGTGGGATCATCAACATGCACCACTCTGGAACAGATCGACGTGCAAAGACCTCGCAGGTATAAATGGACCACGTTGGCTGGGCTATTTAAAATTTTTTTTTTGTATTTTTGATTTCCATTTTAATTTCCATTTCCATGGAGCTGTAGGTGATCATGGCCATCTTGTATGTACTTAACACAGATTTTCAAAGTCAGGCCTAGGATATTTGTAATCTTGCTTTATAGCGTGTCAGTTTCATCAAGGGATGAAATGTACCTTCTCAGTATCCCATTAGCAACATTATACAATAGAACCAATTCTCTAATGGTGAAAGCAGAAGAGACTAAATTTAAAAATGCCGCATGGTTATACTTATTCTAGCCAGTCAATTTAAAAAATAGAAGTTAATAGTAGAATTCAAACTAGAGCATAAAATCCCATCAAGCCAGGATCCACAATGCAAAATATGTAGGCATTCTTGAACTTGTAATAAGATATCTAGACCTATGATTTCATTAGTGTAGGGAAACTTTGGTTAGGAACCCTGAACCAATGGGGATCAATAGCTGTTAAGCAGTATAGTCCTTGAAAGCTGCTTGGGGTGAGGAGAGGTTGAGGTACATGGCTAATATTACACTGGACGGTATGTGTCAGAAGTAGGCTCTTCTTGAGCCCAAAGTTTTTTACCACATATTTGATGAACATATGTTTATAGACTTTTCTGGGACATTTTGAAAATAAATTTGGATAAAGCTAAAATTAATTTACTTTTCTAAATAAGAAAATTTTACAATTCAAAAATTTTTAGGTTAAATGGAATCTTATTTCCCCAAAATTTATTTTTATGTCCTGGAAATGGATACTTATAAAAGTTACTCTTATGGTTTATTGCCTCGCATACTTTCAGAATTTAAATTATTCCTTAGTAGCAGTAGTATTTGTCTCTTTTTTAGGGAGGGGTACCATTGGAATTTTCCCCCCATGATTGAGGAAACAGCCTCATGATATTCAGGCAAAAGCTTGTCAAATATTTGACTTTCTCTTTTCCATTAAGCTGGAAGCCACAAACTTCCTGAATAGCCAGTGACCAAAGTGTAGCTCAGAGACAGATAATGAACCAAGGCCCACATTTCTCTTTCTCAGCCTTCCCACCATGTATTTGTCTCACTAAATTTTCCTCAGTTGTATCAGATTTTGGAGACTTGAATGAAAACATTGATTTTTTTTTAAGCCAAAATAATCCTGTAAGTTGTGGGAAACAATGATAGAGACTCTCTTTGTCTTGTAGATCATAGTTGACAAAATTCTTCCAGCATGCAGATTATTCCCCCAAGAACAAACTAGGCAGTCTTGCACCATGTTGACTCTCTAGAGCTTGTCAGGTGTCCAGTAGGGATTGACTAGTGATTGGTCAAGAGCAGGTATGAAAAAAACCAAGTGACATAGCACTGCCTGCAAGGGACAAAGATTTACTTGGCCATAGATGTCATCTCTAAACACAAAATACAGTGGTTTGCAGCCACTTGGCCAATCGGTTGTTGGCACTACCCAATTGAAACCATTTGGAGTCCTGGGTTCCCTAAGTAATGCAGGTCATATGATAAAGCATGCAAGTGTTATTTGCTTCAGCTCTTGCCCACATGTTTCCGAGCACCTCCAAAAGTGTCTCAATTAGTCATAGAGAATAAAAGTAAAGACTTGGGATTTTACCAATTGAAGGAGTATTATTGAATTTAAATTATGTTAAGGGAGAGCTACTATGCTGGGAGAAGATCTTGTAATAGCTATAGTAATAACTCATAGCTAACGTACACATAGTCTTACTGTTTGTAAGGCGTTGTGCGAAGCACTTATAAAATTATCTCGTTTGTTTATCACAACAACCGTGAGGTGCTTTTATTTTTTATTGTTCCTATCTTACAGGTGGGGAAACTGAGGCAAATGGTGATTTTTTTTTTTTATTTATTTTTATTTATTTGCTCGTTTATTTATTTTAGTGGTTTGTCCAAGGTGGCATAATTAGTTAAGTGTGTGAGGCTAGATTTGAACTCAGGTCTTTTTGATTCCAGGGCTGGCACTCTCCCCACCATGCCCAGGTTCCGGAGGGGAGGGAAAGGGAGAAAACTGCAGCGCTTGTCAAATGAATGAAGCTACAAGTGTGCTTCAAACTTGTAATAATATCCTTTCTATCACAGACTTACCCTCTGTCAGTATTAGTGGTGCACTCAAGCATTTATAGAGAGCTACTATCAACAATATGCAAGAAACGCATAGGAAATAGAATCTGGTAGTATCTGTGATATTAAAATTATTTCATGGTGTTCCACAAAAATTACATAACTGCTGTTCTGAATACTCAATGGATTTTTTTAAAAAAGTAATCTTTTTGCTTTCTTGAAAAATTTGGCTGCTGTATTCAGGGTTCTGGTAATTGCATTATTCTACAAAATCTGAGCCAGAGGCTTCTGCTGCTGGTTATGTCTACATGAAGCCAAAAGCATCTTCCATGGGA